CAGGAGTATTCGGAGCGAGTGAGCTCGTGACAGCTGCGTGACGGGGTCTGGTGATAACGTGACCGGTCAAGTCCCGCAGGAAGCTCCAATGGCTCGTAAGTTTGCCATGCTGATGTTGTACACCGGGGACTGGGCTGTTCAGATGTCCAGTCAAGTCGGGTTTTCATTCGAATCCATTCGATCCGAACCTCTTATCCCTAACGTTGCTTCATCCTGCATCCTCGCGACGCCCCGCTTGTCCGGGGCAGGCTGCATGCGTCAGCCACGAGTGGGCCGCGAGCCCCGTGGGGAGGGGGATCCTGACCAGGTACCCAGCGCACGTGCGCGGGTTAAAGTTCGACGGTTGGCCCCCCAGGTGCGTGCAAGTTTGCCCCACCGTTAACCTGTTTTGTCATCCCTCAGCCCTGAAATGATCATTTCTGGTCGAAAGGGCTCTAATCCAAACAACCAACCGAATCCCTTTCATGCGTTGTATTCATTCCATTCTATCCATTCGGACGCCGAGAAAAGTTTCCTTGAGATGTGGTGGTCGCACGGAGTTTTAGGGAAATGCCTAGCAGAAGATGGGAGGATTTCTGCTCACGACTTTGTTCCCTGTTGTGGACTGCTTCATGCTTACGGACATGTCGAAAGGGATAGCGACTGAGGTTGGCGCGGATGCATTTTTCGATGCTGTGCGGTGATCGGAGACAGGTGTATCTTAGATATCCAGCTTTCCATTACATCGGCGCAGCTCAGAATCCTGCCGATAACGAACTGCTCGCTCCCCATGTGCGAAGAAAAATATCACGGACACATGCGTCATATTGAGAGGCAGCCTGATTAGCACGTATATGTACAACCCTTTTTTATAACTTTATTCCGAATGGTTTGCATGGGTGACTTCGGGTTCAGAGTACACGCCAAGCATAGCTTGCTGCGTGTACCCCGAACCCACCACCCAAGTCGTGCGGTCCAGTTCAACGGATAGTTTTGCCTCCGCCCTTTTGCCAGACAGGACTGCGGAGGTTTTTCCGTGCCGCACAATGCTGCGGCACGTAACGCTGCGTCCCGGGCCTGGGTTGACACTTGTTGGCCAGTTGCCAGCTGACCTTTTCACGCCAGGCAGGTCAAACAATGCGCCCACTCTGGGACTCGCACCCAGTGCCGCTGGATTACGAGTCCAGCATCTCCTCCTAGACCACGGGGGCGACAAGTGTAAGCGGTACACCAAGATTGGCATCCGTTCTCGAGTACGGTTTCGTTTTCCTCCATGGTCTGAGTCAAGCGATCTGTCATATTGATGGGGCAAAAAAGGCTGCGTAATGCCCAATGCTCGTGCAGTGCCATTGGGCTAATGCTGTATTTATCAGATGCCTTTAGCCCCGAGCATCGACATCCCGACGCGACGCAAGTTGCTAAATCCCTCTCCATTCATCAAACCGAGTATGCAGACTGTGCAATCGTTGTACTTCTTGTCATCTGTATTCTGTGGTATATATGGAGAAATATGCTCCATTTGTTTGATATACATCGTGGCGAAAAAAGAGAAGAACGATTACTGAGTTTATCATCAGTTATCACCCACCCCGTAGTGAAGGTGGGGGAGTGCCCTACCCCTCCACTCCCCCATTTGGTATGCGCCGAATCTCAGGAGCAAAAATATGGTCCGTCCTGTTTCGGGACTGTCAACCCGACCGCCAGCACCACCTGCGGGGCCCTCGCTCGTCATCTCACCTGCTCGTGCCGTGAAATAATGAACGGATCGAGGCGTGCGTTGCACGAATTGCGAACCCAAACCATGCGACTCGGTACCCGCATCACAAGCCTCCTCGAGCAGTTCGAACCGCCCGATTGGGACGCAAACCGATCCTTCGATGCTGGCAGAGTTCGCTGATAATCCTCTCCGGCGGCGGTTTGCGCGGTTCGGACGGATTGCTTCACGCCAGCCCGGCTAGCCCCGTCATAAATCCGGCTCGGCGCTCACCGCAGCCTGTTGCGGTTGCGACCAGTCGTCGCTGGCGGAAAGGTCACGGAAATTGCGTTCGGAATGTCACGTGAGAACGCCCTCGTGGGAAGTCGTGCGTTCTCGTTGGCGCTGTGCTATGTGTCATTTGTACGGCACGGAACTCGAGCTTGGAAGAGCACGCAAGCATATGCATCTCGTCAGCAGACAGTTCGTGCCAGGTTTCACGTATTGAGCAAGGCCTCCGCTTGAGGCTGAACCTGGCGAGAAAACGACACATCCAGCCACCAGTAACTTTGTGAACGTGGCCACACTGTGCGCAGAGCTGGTGCCTTTATGACACGGTTGACGGGCATGTAGCAATGTGGAGGCTTTGCATAGCTCAAAACATAGTTTTGGAGCCGGGCCTCTGCTTTAAAAACAACTTAACAATTCAGCATGAGATATGTTTTGGGTGCATTGTTGCTCCCGGCGGTGCACACAGAGGAACGAATCAGCACGTCTTGGAACCCCAGACACTGATCGTATTTGCATTTGAGATCTCTATCTATGTGCTACGATATCATTTAAGTGGACTCCTCTTCCAAGCGTGATCATTTCACTAGATGATATGCTTAAATGCGATGCTATATCTACCGCGTGTTACCGCACGGAGAAGCCAACCTGGAGGCATTCGCGGATAATATCTAACTTACCGAAGCCACCGGCTACTAATGGCACTGTAGCCAAACCCAACTGTTACAAATTCCAAAACAACTGTACATATTAGCTATTAAGCAATTTCCATCATTTTGCTATTTAGTTCCAAATCATGGAGGGGTTCAGGAAAAGCTCACATCTAAACTTTCCGTGGTTTGACTGTATGTGACTGGGGCAAATAATGGCCAAAGCATGTGGAAGTAGGAGCATTGTGTAGTGTTTCTAGAAGAATCTGCCCCACGTTTCGTACATATCTTATCCATACCCGTGGCAAACCCTGCTATTCTATCAAAACTTGTGCCAATTCTAACCCGTTACCTGTCTTACACGGGCACTCCACCAAACGTTTGAAGTCATCCAAAACACATCTGCAGCAGCTATGTTTAATAATGCCAATTCATTTGTTAACCCCAATACCTGAAATTCTGCCAGTGTTTCTAAAAACATTGCTGTAGGAGTTACATATTTCCTTGCGCAATAAGTTCTTGCAATGCGAATAACCGGCCTTCCAAAATCAGACAGTATTTGTTAAATAAAGATACTGAGCATTCACTGAGCTCATCCGTGATCAAGAGCGCTACTGGAAACGTCAGGGCTTTTGACGTTTGCAAAAGAAGTCAGATTGAAGCCGAAAGACAGAAGTCAATTGAATTTGTTCACTCAATTGTTGTGTTGCCTAGGAAAGTATCTCAGAGATGTATGGCTTCATCTAACACTCCGTTGTTGGATCAGATTAAACGATTCCCTAGAAATTGCCTTCGCTGAAACCATGGCCTGGCCTTCACCTGCCATAGGTCAGCGACATTACAAGTTAGGTCTAAGTTTTGATGCCAGACGATCTGCTATTCAACTGTCTACAGCTAAGCAAAATTTGGCGCGCCTACGCCGCGCCGTTCGGGAGCCATATTGGAAAAACTTTCGTGAGGTCAATTTGACCCCTGCCCGAGCGTGTGTTAGTCTAAAACTTTGCCGTAAGCCTTATGTAAGGCCTGCAGTTAAGTGCCATTTCCCTAGATGTCTGATTCGCAGATTAATTTTGCATTAACAACGAACGTTATATTGGAGTGGCTGAAATTAACTTTAAATTACGCAAATATTGTTTATGTATGCATCAAGTAAGTTTCAGTGCTTCCAAAATGTCCGGAGCATTTTGCTTCACGCGCTGATCGAGGCCTTTTTAACTGCTGCATAGCACGCCAGCCACCCACAGGCCATAAGGTTCTTCTTTTTTGGAAAAGCGCATTGTTTGTTACGGTCAAGCTTTGATGGTGCCGTGGTGGCAGCACCACGGCAGCTGCCGCGCAGTAAATTGCTTGTTACGAGCAAGCTTTCATGGTGCCCTAGTGGCAACACCAAACGGCAATTGCAGCTGCCGCGCAGTAAATTGTTTGTTACGGTCAAGCTTTCATGGTGCTGTGGTGGCAGCACCAAGGCAGCTGACGCGCAGTAAACCGCTTGTTACGGTCAAGCTTTCATGGTGCTGTGGTGGCAGCACCAAGGCAGCTGACGCGCAGTAAACCGCTCGTTACGGTCAAACTTTCATGGTGCTGTGGTGGCGGCACCAAGGCAGCTGACGCGCAGTAAACCGCTTGTTACGGTCAAGCTTTCATGGTGCTGTGGTGGCAGCACCAAGGCAGCTGACGCGCAGTAAACCGCTTGTTACGGTCAAGCTCTCATGGTGCTGTGGTGGCAGCACCGAGGCAGCTGACGCGCAGTAAACCGCTTGTTACGGTCAAGCTTTCATGGTGCTGTGGTGGCAGCACCAAGGCAGCTGACGCGCAGTAAACCGCTTGTCACGGTCAAGCTTTCATGGTGCTGTGGTGGCAGCACCAAGGCAGCTGACGCGCAGTAAACCGCTCGTTATGGTCAAGCTTTCATGGTGCTGTGGTGGCAGCACCAAGGCAGCTGACGGGCAGTAGGTTGGGTGCCTTAATACTGTGTCGCCACCGACTGTGTTAACAGCTTCAACTATACTAGGTGGCAATTAAGTAAATGCATAGTTTCCCATGGATCTGGTTTCCTATTTAGTTGTGTTTCGTTTATTGCAATGCTGCACTTCCTTAAATATGCATCTGCTGCGGTTATCCCAATGCTTTAAAATCAAGGTTAGAAACTTATTTCAGGTTACCATTAAGCCTTTGTAGGTACTCAAGCCATAAAAACAGCACTGATACATCACTATCCGCTTTGATATTGGTTTTGGTCATCCATCCCGGAACCAGAGAAATCCCCACAACTAATTCTACCAAATCACTGCCTATGCTTTGCTTGGAGTCCGCCCGTGTTGAGTCTTTGCCCGACTTCGGACAGCGCTGAACGGGCAATCTCGCTTCCAGGAGTCGCCGTTCCCCTGCTGATGCTGCTGCTGCTGCTGCCGTTGCTCTCCGGCACGTCGGCCGGGGCCGCCTCACTCTCCGAGTCCGCCAGCATCGTCAACTTGGTGACGGATGTGGTGGCGCGCGCCACCACCGCCTCCGAGGTGCTCACTCTCAACCTCACCAACCTCATCATCCTGGTGGTCATCAAGGCCATCGTCATCGTCTTCGGCATGTTCGCCTTCGGGGGCGGCTTCAACCTGTTCGGGAACACATTTGGCAGGTGAGAGCGTCGCAATTGGTGGCGAACGTTTGGATAGAATGGGAGGAAGTGCCTTTCCGGTTAATCGTTTCCACATCCAGCCTTATCCCAGCACCAGTGACTGTGTTCGACGTTGTAAAGGGGTAATCTGTCTACGTGCAGATGGACTATCCTGTGTGCATTTGATTCAGGTGCCATGAAGAGATTTGGCGGCTGGACTGGGCAGCATGATTGTTTTTTCTCAAATATAAAGTTACTATTATCATCGCCTTTAACCGTTTCTGATAAGATATGCGGCGCATTTGAAGCAAACACTGTAGCATAACACTTCAAAACGCATTTTACAATGTCTAAAAATGACGTTAACATTTGACGCTGTCATCGATCTTGGTGAAGCAATGTTTGCCCGATATTCGGAGATAGTGGAAGGAGATCTCACGAGAACATTGAAACGAAGCCATGCTAGTGGTGCTCTCGTGCTTATTTCGCACGTGATCCCCTGTTCTGCGCTGCCCTGAAATGGAGCGAGCTGCTCCAGCAGTGCCGGACGCGTCGTACGCTACCTTGCCCGCAGGTCTGCTGACTCGGCGGAGTCGCAGCCCTGGCTGGACCGGCAGGACATGCTGCTGATGCTGACGTACCTGCTGAGCTCGGACGGCGCCGGCTACGGCTGTCTGGACCGGGTGGCCTGCGAGCAGCCCGACCGCGCCAAGCAGTACATCACCGCCGGCAAGATGCTCTTCAGCGGCGCGAAAATGGTGGACGGGTGAGGCCGGGATGGGGACTGGGGCCGGTCAACCCCGCTGATTGCCGGAGCCACCTTCCTGCTGTGAAGGAGAGTGGCGTCCTCAGCTGGCTTTAGGGTCGGACCGAGAATACGTGTCCCTATGCAGCAGTGCGCGTCTCCGTCCATCCAAACGGCGCTGCTGATGGTGGACTGTTCTCAACGCCAAGCGTGGTGGAGGATCCCGTGCCACCGAAACATGGCCGGCTTCCTGGGGAACACACATGACGGGTACGCCATCAGTCACATGATATTTATTGCTTAATATTATGCAACAATATGGCATGGATTTTGAGACTATGTCATGGCAATGGCATCCCGCGCCTTCGTGATGATCTCTGCAAGGTTTTGTCGGCACGTATTAGCGCCATAGGTTAAGTCTTTGCATAAGAAACGCATGCTCGACGGTAATGCGTTTATGTAGCCGCACTGCCTCCTTTGAACCCACTGTAAAAACTGCCGACACCGTAAAGTGGAAAGTGAGATGAAGTTCAAGCCTAGGTCACAGCGTGTCAGTTGGCCTTGCAGAATGCTTTACGGTATTCTCGTGATGTTTTTGTTTTCAGTCGATGTCCTTTCCGCATGCTAACGCATGCTTACTGCGTCCAGACCGGGACAACTGCTAAGTAAACCTGAGGCAAATTAGCCCTGGCCTGTATCAGAAGAGTCGGTATTTCACGAGTGAGGGCAATCATAATGCCACCCGTGAATTGCGTGTATCATGGCAGCCCCTAGAATCGGTACAAACAGACACTAGGAAAGCAAATGAATGGCGTGACAGCCTTGATGTCATTTATGAACCATGAAACCGCAAAAATCGTCACTTTCTGATAAATTTCGCCTAGGTACAGGCTTTGCAGTCTGGACTAAAAGCGCTGAAGTCCTTTCGTTTTTGTGCAGGGGTGAAGAATACAACATGCAGCCCGCTAGTCCGTATAAGTCGATGGATTTCCGGTGGCTTTAAAGTCACGATAAGTGTCTCATTGAGTCCACTCACCGGAAAATAGCCCTGGCATATATGGGTCATACCTCTTCTGCATGTACAAATAGAGCTCTTTCGACATCAGCTATGTGGCAAAGCAGAGCATGGTGTCCACAGGTGTGCTGGCTACACGCTTTTCCAATTATGGCGAAACCATAGCGCGCGCTCACCAAACCGCACCCGTCTCACGCGTGCACTATTTCGAGCCCGCCGGCGGCACAACATTGCCCCACGAGACTGCGCCACTGTCGCCATCGCATCACAAGCGACTCCAACTGCACCCCCGCCCCTCTCCGCTACCCCTCTTCTAGCCCGCGGGCATTTGCTCGGGCGCGTTCCGCCGCGTGCCCCGGGGCGGTGGCGTGCCGTCGGGGTCACGACCCGTGACCGGCGTCGACACCGACAGCGCCGAAAGTAAAAGTGCCGCCGGCGACGCGCCATTGTGCCCGGCGGGCGATGGCTGGATGCACGCTCTAACAGCCGCGGGCGGCAGATGGCGCGATAGGTCAGTGGAGGCGCCGCGGGGCCACTTTCACAAGCGGCAGCGGCGCTTCTTGCGGCCGTGGGCGGCGGCCGTGACGGCGGAAGGCCGTCCGGAACAGGAACTGGCCAGGTGGGAGGGGCAGGGGAAGGGCGAATCTCCGGACGTGGACTGCCAGGAGAGGGCGCTCTCGGGTCGCCGATGTGGGAGGGGTGGCGACTGGACGGGGTGAATTGTTGGACAGCGATTGGCGTAAGGCAGTCAGGATAATAGTAGACGACTGTAAACTGGCAAGAACATGAGCGTATTAATGGAGCAGGGCAAAAAGGCGTCCTTTTTACGGTTCACTCATCCTAGTGCGAACAGAAAATGGATACAAAATGCTGCTTTTTAAATCTAACAAATGCCGAACAATGGGAAGCTGACACTTTGCGTTCTCTCTTCTGGCATAAAGCTGCGGAAGGCAGCGCTGTCAGAATAATAGCAGCGCTACCGCGCATTCGCTTCCCATACCATGCGTGCCAAATAAAAAAACTTTGTATAATCTTAACAGGTAAAGAAGAGATTCTTCGTGAATTATAAAAATACGGAATACATGCAAGCGGCATTACGCGACTATTTACGTTTTGAGTTAAGGACAGTGTTTTTCTAAAGCCATAGCCCCATTAAGTCCTACACTGTTTTCTGCATAGCTTGGGCGCGGTTTCAGGCGGGGCCGTCGCGAAATTTTGCGATGAGGCTCAAAATATAGCCAAAGAGGCCAACTGAGGTTGAACCAAAGGGAGATCATGTTCTCCAGGTTCAAAACATAATCTTCCCGATATATGGGTGTTTTTGCCATACAAGCTGCAAGTTCTTGGCAACCTGTCTTTTGCCAGAATTGATCTCTAAGCAGGCTAAAAAGACAATGAGTGGAACGTGATACTGGTGTCCGAGAAATTTAAACAAATTGTCGAATTGCTGTTGTCTCCTGGTCGTCCGGTGTTCGACCTCTGTTAAAGATGTCAGAGCAGGAGTGTAATTTCCCATTCAGCTTATGGGCCTGCATGATTCCGGTTTTGAAAAAGTGGGCTAAATTTATGGACGAACCCGTGTGTTGGTGCACTGGGGGATGATAGCTTTCGTCATTTTGCACAGCGCAGCCCCAACTCACTGCGCAGAACTAGGCCTCCGCACCAAAACAGCTTAAAGTAAGGACTCAGGAAGACAGGGCTTCCACAGACGCTTCAGCTGTCCCATTACATCGACAGACCAAATGATGTGAAAGATACAAGTTTTATCTGTACTTGTATAACGTCATGCTTGCTTTCGGCATTTCTGAAGAGCTACCTTTACCAGAATCATGGTGGCTGCATGTTGCGATGTTTAGCAAGCACCTTTGTGGCGTTACAAAACCTTGCAATGTTGCAAAAGCCGTTTGTTCAGAAACGTGGAGTGCAGCAATGCAATTAACTATGATCAGTATATTATCTTCTACCCCCGTCGGATGGCAACTCGTGGTCGGACAATCTTTCACGCACGATAGATCGCTGTTGCTGCTTTTAGTGTTTCGTATGGACGTGATAGTCATGCATCTACGGGTCGTGCTATTACACCTATTGTCTGCCATGTGCTCTGCAACAACGATTCGCCGTGTTTTGTGTCGTCCTGTAATGTAAATTATCTCTAGCTATTTACTTTCTGCCATTTTGCCATAACATCACATGTTGCTTGAGTTCAGCAACAGATGGCACCACAGTATCCCTTGGGGATATCGGAAGCATATCTCCGACTTCCTCAGTTATCGACAGTTACAAAGGTCTTTCAATCAGGACGTTTTCCAGGGGTTTAATGCATTACACGGCCACGTACTTATGTTCCTGCTGCGTGCATCAAACAACTCTGGTCCACATTAGCATGTGCATTGACAGCTTGTAAAGAACTGATTACACATGTCCCATATTTGCGGTCATGCATTACACATCAAGCATATATGTCTCATCTATGCATGCATCTTGCATGCACACATGAATGATACACGAAAATCTTCCACTCATCAATCTAACTGACGCTCGCCGCTCCTCCCGCAGGATCCTACCAGTGGACAGCAAGTACGAGGAGGTGCTGGACGGCATGCAGAAGGCGGTGTACCACGGCCAAAGCGGCGGCGTGTGCAGCCTGCGCTACCGCTGCTCGGAACACTGACCCGTCCCCCACCCCGTCCTCCTCTCTCCTTTTGCTACACTGTTTTCGACAGCAGCCGGCGGCGGCAGCCCCCTCGCCGCGGCGGCACCCAGCTTTGCTCCGACAAGGCGGGACCAGCGCTGGGCGAAATCAGCGCTGGGTGGGACCAGCGCCGGAGAAGCTCGCGTTGCCTGAGACGTTCCCAGCGCCCTCTTTTAACACGGAATTGTTGATCGATAACGCGGGTGAGCCCGACCGTTCGGCGATCGTGGCGCGTAATGTCCGCTTTGGCAGCTGGCTGGAGAACGGCAGCACGCCGTGGCGGGGGTCCCGACAGAAAAATGGCGCGTGCTTTGGGGCAGAGCGGAGCCTGTTGCCAGCCGTGAATCATGAATATGTCCTGAAACGCAACAGGTTAGTTTTTCGAGGACTGCCACGTTTTGGAATAGCTTCTGTGCCGTGCAAGAGCTGGAGAGTTCGTTTTTAAAGCGGAATATCAACACAGTTTCTAAGCGGCATATTCGTCTACCAACAAAAATCTGCAGATGCAATGTCGCAGCGTTTATCCAAGCCTACTCGCCGCAGTAACGTAGATCAGAGTAAAATGTGTATACAAGGCATCAGTCAGGATCGCCGTTTCTCTCATGCTTGGTGCGATATGTGTACATACATGCCGCGCGTGTTCCGCTCATGTGGGATCTATTTATTGTGCATATGTACAGCGTTTCAGAGATTCGCACTAATCTTGTTCATCACTGAGACAGGCTAAGTCAATTAAATAAGACCCCACCGTAACCTCCTTTGGCGGGCGTACACGAACATTGTCACCAGCCGTGTGCGTAGCTGTGAAAGTGCGTGGTGATCTTTTTTTACGATTTCTGCTTGACATTTAGTTGTACTTGTACTGTGAATACTCAATTATTACTTCGACTGTGCGTGTATTGCCTTAGGCGTGAAATGCAATGTCTTGCGTCGTGCATATTTCCGAACGGCTTATCATAAGGAGACGACTGAAGTGCTTTGGCAGTTACGGCAGTTGCTTGCTTATGATCTGTTTGACCAGTGCGGTTTGTTTACGTTTTCTGCCGTTGTGTTACTTTGCTGGTGTCTGTTACTTTGTGTGAGCCTGTGCTCACATGATCAAGTTTTGTGGACATAGTGATTACAAAATGAAACTGTGCGACTATTGCGTATTGCTTGTTACATAATCTGTCCTGCGTTCACGCCGGCTGGCATCTTTCGTCAGTGCCTAGTGAGCCGTTTGCGCAAATGGTTTGTGTTGAATCATTGACTTTTTGTTGGCAGAATAGATCATGGTCGGAATATACGGCATCGCCACAAAGCATGTGACTGGCACATCATCACTTCGACACGAAGGTCCTCAAAACCAAACCTTCAGGAGTGAGGACGCATGGCAGTCGACTGTGAAAGGCCAGTAGGCTGCTGGGGATATCACCATCTCAACACACCCGCACACCGTCGGCGTCGGCGGCAGATGCGCCAGACACGACCTGACCTCGCGCTCCGCGTCTGACCGGCCCAGCTGCCCGACGCTGCGCCGGAGGGGGGGGGGGGTGGTACACCGGGTCACAGCAGTCGCCGGTGAAACCCCGCGCGGCACACAATGGCGCTGGTGCGACAATTAGCAGCGTCTAGACGCCGTGTCGACGGGGACCATTGTCCATCCGCGCCCTGGCGGCACGCGGCCCGGGCATTGTTTACACCCGGCAGGCGCTGGGCGCAGCTGATAGCCGACGCTGGCGTCATGCGTCATCGCTGGTGACGACCATGGTAGTCACTATAATAGCGGGGCATTCGCCGCTGTGTGCAGCTGCATTCGTCATGGATAGTGTCGTAACACTTCACGTCACGTACCGCGATAACGGAAACGGTCGCGCGCGGGCGGGCGTTGGAATGGGCAGCGGTGTGGCTCGAGTTGATTGGGGCGTGACAAATAACATGCATGACATGCGGGCTGTAAAAAGGCGGGGAAGTTAAGGAGATAAGAAATGTCACTCGTATCGTGGTGCCCTTCTTGATCACTGATGATGAAGCCGCGCAGTTTGTCGCAAATGATTGAGCAGGCTGGAGGCAAAGCGCAGTTTTAAGCAAATCATGCCTAAGCAACATCCATGTTAAGGGGCTCTTTATCCTAAACAACCTGGCGTGGATGAGGCTTTGCATCTCTCTGTGACGATTTCCATCGGTGAAGAATGCAGTGCGGCAGGCATGGCAGGGGTCCCACCCAATCACGTGAACACAACTGTGGAAAATCAAATTCATTGGGCGAGACTTGCCACGGGAGCTCGGTCACCCGAACGTGAGCTAGCGTTCTTCGTTCTCCCGTGTGTTTTCCCTAGGATTGTCCAGCATTCTCTCCGTGATAACGTCTCTTGTTCTCTTCAGTGTTTATTACGACCCCAATATTTATGTGAATCAGATCATGAAGCTGCTGGAAAGCAAAAACACCCTGGAAGCGGAGGTGGACAGCGTAGTCTTCAGTGCCTGATGTACCTTCAGAGCAGGTTCGGCCTGTAAGTTCAGCTCCTGACTGTGGAACACCTTACCATTAAACTAGAGGATGCCACCCCATTCCGGCGGATAAGTAAAATATCATGTTTGGATGAGGGGGGGGTTACGTTCAGTGGAATGACATCTTTTGAAGTGTGGTACGAGGCAAGCGAAAACAGTAAAAACGCCATGTGGATTTTTTTTAATCGGCATAAGCGAACGGAACTCGTCGTCATCCGGTGCCAATGAGAATAAGGCGTCGTGTGCTGGGACTTTACGACGCACTCAGAGGCTTAGGCTATATGAGGTCGCCCGCCTAACATCCTGGCAAGAAGCGCGGACACCACGGAAAATCAAACGCAGCGGCCATCAATGCATTGCAATATCCGACTTTTATTCGGTTGGGAGCCGTAAGTGCACTGATGTGCAGCATCCGCACACCAGACGTCCATCGCTGGAATATCGCCTGACTTTGAGCCTGCCGAGGACGGACCGTTTTAATGGGTCAGCGATTTAAATTTGGAATAGCTTACATTCCAGGTGACCTTGGCTGCTGTATTTGGAAATAAACGGCAACAATTCGTGTAGAAATTGCTTACAAAAGAGAGCTACGCACCACGTAGATGTCACGACCCGGCCCATCTCGGTCCAGGCCATAGTGCTGCTGGTTTCGGGAAAAAACGTTTGGGGCTTCTCGGTCTACTGCTGGCATACCTATGGGTCGCACAGCGTTAAGATCGCCCAATGATTTGAGAGAAGGCAAATGCATCCACACCGTACTGCTTGTTTAATGTTTTATCTGCTCTAGTTACCTAGCTTTATCATTAAAAACGCCCATGAATGTATGGAACAATGGTTTTGAGCGATTGTGTGTGAGGGTGTGAATACATTAACAAGCACTTTTGCCGGACCATTTGCTTATTTGTGTTATCTGTTAGTGTTAGTCTACATTTAGCCGTTGAGATTTGGACCCGTGCTTGTCAATTGTTCTTCAGCATTTTCGCCATTTGAAAATCGTGCGTTTTCCCATGTTTATCGAGTGGAGATGTAATGGCAATATCAAAACGCTTACGTGTTGAAATGTGCCTTTGATCAGGAAGCCTGCGTGTAAGTGTTTTGCAAACAATATGACACAGCTTTCAAATAACTGCAACTGTGTTAAAACCCGGTCAAAAAAGCCACTGGCCGGAGCCGAGCAGACCGCTGCAACTGCAAAAATCGCCGTTTAGCTCACGTTAAGACTAACTCGAGCTGTGTCCCTCGCTTTTGTACGATATCGAGGCCAGACGAGTGTAGTGAGGTAAGAGGTGTAGTTTCCTATGCCGCAATGGTGCGGTGTAAATATCCAGGTCTGCCTGGACCTTCGCCCCAACCTCCCAGCCGGCCAACACCTGCGCTCGCTGGTCGGGAAGTTGGGGCACCAGTCATGACTGGGAGTTCGTGTATGTCAGAAGCCGCCAGTGTAATAGACATTGATCGTTGAAAATAACAGTGGCTTCCTTCTTTGTGATCTTCCATGATGTGCTGTCAATCTTGCGCGAGAAACCCAAGCCTGTTATGAAGGGCCCAGGGATATGACATGGTATGTCAATATAGCGTAACTGAGAAAAAGAATGTTCGTGGGAGGCGATTTAGCGGTAAAAATGGCTCCTTCCATGAGTTTTTGCTTTGAAGTATTCCCTGATGATGCGTAGCACGTAACGCGTGTTCGGGAAAAACAAACAATGAAAAGAAGTTCGATGGCGCTTTGTAATTTGCCTCCAAGCTACCGTGCGTTGATAAGACTAGTAAGCTAATTCATCAATTAAACAAGCCATGGTGGGCGACGCCTGGCATTATTGTGTGTGATAATTGTGACTTAAAGCTAATGTCTTATATCTTGAGAATATCAGAGGCTTGATGAAACGTCCAATAAATATAAGAAAGGCGACAGAAACGTTGTTTACTTGGACTTATCTCATTTTGAGTTTTGATTCAGTTCTTAACAAGCACAGCCAGAAAGCAAGCACTTAATACGCAAGATTGAAAGTACGCCTCGGAGGATCACAAACAACGATGCCGCTGTCGTTTCCAAGGAGCCAAGCGTATATATATATATATATATATATATATATATACAACATATATATATATATATATATACATACATATATATATATATATATATACAAACATATATATATATATATATATATATATATATATATATACATACATATATATATATATATATATATACATGTTGAGATATTTTGGCAGGACCGTTTCTCTTACGCATGTTCGATTACAAAAGACTGCTGACTCAGCATTGACGAGCCTTTTTGAATGCATCACTGACGAGTGAATGCATCACTCTAGTTTCCGGGCTTTTGACTCAGCATTATTGTTTAGATTAAGTATAATTCACACAAATCGCTCATGTCTTCGTCGCTCATTACATTGTTATGCTTCGAGATCTTATCTCGTCGTCGGTGAAGACTGAACGGCACAAGAAATAAGTTTTGAATTGCGTAAGTTGTTCAGTGCATTAGCGAGGAACCCAACTTTATCTCCATTCTCCTGGTTTTTTTTTTCTCCGAGGAATAAGGCTAATACTACTGTCTTATCATAGAAATAAGTTTTGAGTTTTAAAGGATGAAAATTGCGCACTACTGTCGGAACACATCTTTTAGTACGGAGAACACAAATGAAGCGTGGCTAATTGAAGTAGGACAGAATCCCATTTTTACTTTGATGCATGCAAAATATACTCGTAATGGGAACACTACAAAGACATAAACATATTGCCACAATCACATCAGTAGTGCTCACCGCCCACCACCTAATAGTTCAAGGGTTATACAAGAATTGGTTTGTCTGTTTAGGGCTGTAGGGAGGTCTTTAATGAACATGCTTCCCCAAATTTTACGGCGTCTTCTGTTATTGCACGTCCGTAAAATGTCAGTGTTGTCTGTCAGTTGTTGTCGTGTCAATGTCCTGTCGTGTTCGTGTTGCATGTGGTGCAGAGGTACCCCGTCACGTCAGTGAATTGTCAGGCGTCGTGAGAGTGTCATCGTGGTCACACCAGTGTAGTGTACGGAACAAAGTTTGCAGCCTTCTATGTTGCATCTGAATTGATGTGCTACGTTGATGCGTTTTAGTTTCTCGGGTTTGTCCGGGCTGCTTCTCATAAGAAAGTTAGGGATTTTCCCATTGCGATAACACATGACAATATCTATTCTGGGGGCGTTCTTGCCTTTTGCATGTCGAAAGATGATTCCCCGTAGAGCTTTTTCGTCTTCTGCGTGAGCGAATGTCATTTAATTTTGATAATACAGTTTGGCGGTTGGTTGGTTGTCTTGTCTTGGGTTACTGTCAAAGTGTCTTGTCACATAACGTTGTATTTCGTCTTCAACGCCAGAATTTGAAAGAGAATGGTTGTTCACCGAGATCTGTCTGCTTCTTACCAATGTCGAATGCAGTCCTGTCCAATCATAGCAGTGCTTAAATTCACGTCTAATGAATGACCTTGTGACGCTAATGAGCTACCTTTATTTGCGAATTTGTTTATGGGACATGTAAAAGCCGGCGCACAAGATGACGACATGAGACCGAACATTTACCGCCGCTATGTAGACGATATCTTTGTGGTAGTTAAGGACATCGATCAACTAGAACGTCTCAAAAACACCTTCGAAGACAGTCTGGTTTAAAATTCACAAAAAAACTAAGTGTGCAAAACATAATACCCTTCCCGGGGGTGACCGCTGATGGACAAGGGCAACGGTCTACAACGACTGTACGCGTAAAGCAGAT